GATAAAGAAACGATTCATTCAACATGGAGCCGAAATACAACCAAAGGGACAGGGGTCGAGAAGACCCCCTCCAAAAACGAACACCAACTAACAAAGCAAAGCTCTCCAGTCTTGTAGGATCATAGAGAGGTTGTAGTTACAAAAAAATTTTGTATTTCTATGGCACCACCAAGAAGTTGTGATATGTACACTATTACAAAAAGAATCAAAAGATTTAGACTTATCTTCAAAAGAACGAAGATTCCTTTCCATCCAAATATTCCATAGTAAAGCTCTGAAGACACAACTCCACAAAAAATAGGCTTTTCCTTTAAGATGCCATCCGTGAAGGAGAAGACCGTGGAGGGACATACAAGGGAACCTTAGAGCTTTTCAAAAGTTCTCCTTCTTCAAAGTATCCTCGGGTGCCCAAGTCAGATTTTGGGAGGACCCATGGATTGATTCTSCCCCTCTTTCCACCACTTTCTCAGATTTGTTTGCGTTATCCTCCAAGAAAGGTATGTCCATCGCGGATTGTTGGTGTACAGAGGCCTTAACCTGGAATCTTGGTTTCAGAAGGAATCTCTTTRAAAGGGAAATGAGTAGATGGGCAAACTTCACTGGAAAAATAGAAGGTGCAGCTATCGGAAATGKAAGGGACATTTTATGGTGGAAAGCGGACCCATCCGGCCGTTTCACAGTCAATTCAGCCTTCATGGCCCTCACGTCCCCTTCTCCTCAACTTAATTCAGCTACTGCAAGCTTGATATGGAATTTTAGAGTCCCAAAGAAGGTAAAATTCTTCATTTGGACTTTGTTCTATAGAGGGTTAAATACCGCAAAGAAACTTCAAAGGAAATTGCCTCATTGGACTCTTTCTCCCTCTGTGTGCACAATGTGTATGAGCAACAATGAAACAGTGGACCACCTTTTTCTCCATTGCCCTTTTGTGTCCNTGCCTCATTGGACTCTTTCTCCCTCTGTGTGCACAATGTGTATGAGCAACAATGAAACAGTGGACCACCTTTTTCTCCATTGCCCTTTTGTGTCCAAAGTTTGGGGGTTTATAGCTTCTTTGCTAGATTTCTCTCTCTGTATTCCTAGAAGAATTGAGGATTTCATTGCTGAAGGTTATRGAGGAAGGCAGCTCAAGGGCAAAGCTTGGGTTCTTTGGAATTGTGCAGCTCGGGCTCTTTTATGGTCGATATGGAAGGAACGGAATTGTCGGCTTTTYGAAGATAAGTTGATTTTGTTAGATTCTTTTTGTGTGAATATTAAGCATCTAGCTTCTTGGTGGGCTATACTACACAAGAAAATTTTTTGTAACTACAATCTTCTTTTGCTTACACAAGATTGGAAAGCGGTGATTGTATAGAGCTTTGGGGAGGGTTAGCTCTACCCTCCGCCTTTTGTTTGTATCCCCTTTAGGGGCCTTCTTGTTTTGAATACACATATTTTGTTTCTTATAAAAAAAAGATGCCATCCGTGAAAACACTCAAGCACCCAATCTTCGATGCTCCTAGGCAGACAAACCGAGAGCCCAAAAATGTCAAACAAGACCGTCCATCCTTTCTTAGCAAACGAGCAGTGAATAAACAAGTGGTCTGCTTCTTTCAAACATAAACAGCATGCTGAAGGGGAGATCGACCACCCTGGGCATTTCTTTTGGAGCCTCTCATAAGTGTTCAATGCGCGGTAGGCCAACGACCATAAAAAAACCTTCACTTTCTTCGGAATAGGATTTTTCCAAATAAAGTTAACTAACGGGGCCTTGAGTGTATTGTCATTTGAATCCAGAAGGCCCAAATAAGCTGATTTTGTAGAGAAAAGTCCATCCCCCTCAAGGTTCCACACTATTTTATCCACTTCCCTCCCTAGAACAACGTCCAACCTTTCCACCAGCCTCATCCATTGCTCCAACTCTCTATCAAATAATCCCCTTCTTATGCCTAGGTCCCATGACTAATTGCCCTCATTCCAGCATTCAGAGACCGATGAGATTCTGTTTAAAAGAGAGAACAAACATATTCGGAAACTCATGTGCAAGGGGCACTTTGCCAGCCCATTTGTCTAGCCAGAAACTTAGTCTAGTTCCTTGACTTGCTTTAAAGACCACCGCTTCTTTGAAAGATCCAATATTTTTGGCTATATCAAACCACGGCCTTCCCCTTGCTTTCCTTTTGGGAACTTTTGTCAGCCACCCGTACTTATCAACACCGTAGATGATAGCTATGATTCTTCTCTAGAGGGCGTTGTCTTCCTGAGTAAAACACCACAACCACTTCGTTAACAAGGCAGTGTTTTTATAACGGAATCCACCTATCCCCAAACCACCCAACTTCACAGGAAGAGAGGAAATATCCCATTTCACCAGATTTCTGCAACCATGACCAGCCCCTGCCCTCCAAAAAAAATCTCTCACTATCTTATCCAACTCCTTCGTAATGCTCGCAGGAGCCTTCAACAACGAAAAATAGAATATAGGAAGGCTATTCAACACTGATTGGGTCAAAGTCAATCTTCCCCCCTTAGACAGTAATAATTTTTTCCATTTGGCAAGCTTGTTTTTGAACTTTTCCACCATCGGTCTCCAAAACTCAATCGCCCTATGATTTCCACCAAGCGACAGCCCCAAATAGTTAAACGGCAAGGATTCAACTCGGCACCCCAAAGAGGTTGCTTTGGAAGCAACTTTCTTCTCATTTAGATTAATACCAATAAGAGAAGACCTGGCTAGATTGATACACAACCCGGACCCCTTAGTAAACAGCCAAAGCAAAGCCCTCCATCTGTCAAGGTTACCTTTAAAGGCCGGACAAAAGATGATAGTATCATCTGCATATTGAAGGTGAGACACCAACACCCTATCTCGACCCACCTCGAAGCCCTGTACGATTCTCTTGGTACAACAAAAATTCACAATCCGACTAAAGGAATCACCAATCAACGTAAACAAGAAAGGGGATAGGGGATCCCCTTGCCTCAATCCCCTTGTAGCGTTAATTTTACCCCTAGGCCTACCATTGATGAAAACAGAAAAGTTGATCGAGGAGACACACCCCTTGATCCACTTCCTCCACCTTTGCCCAAATCCTTTTCTCAAGAGAACCGCATCTAGATAGTCCCAATCAACCAAATCGTAGGCTTTTTCATAGTCAATCTTAAACAGGTAACCGCTCTTTTTGGCACTACCAAAGTCTCCTMCAGCCTTTGCTGCCACTAACATAGCGTCTAAGATCTGTCTACCCTCCACAAAGGCAACTTGCGCATCATCAATAATGTACCTCAGAACCCTCTTAAGCCTTTCAGCCAAACCCTTGGCTATAATTTTGTACAGCGAGGTAACCAGGCTGATGGGTCTAAAGTCTCTGACTTTATTTGCTTGTGAACTCTTCGGAATCAAGCAAATGTAGGTTTCATTAGTGCAACGATTGACGGTCCCGTTCTTAAAAAACTCTTGGAACACCCTTACTATATCGGACTTGAGAATGTTCCAAGATTTTTTAAAGAACTCCATAGTCCATAGTAAAAAGCCGTCAGGACCCGGAGACTTCAGTGTTCCAAAACTTTGAATAGCTTTCCATATCTCCTCTTCCCCAAACAGTTCCTCCAAACTWTCAGCTAAAGAGGGCCGTAAAGGGTTCCAATCACAGCCTTCAAAAATAAATCTTTCACCTTCAGCTCTAGCATATAACTGATTGAAGTAGTTTAAAACCTCTGATTCAATTTCTCTTTCTGTGGTGAAAACCGAACCGTTGCTGTCACAAAGATGTTGTATAGAGGCTTTGCTCCTTCTTGCCGAAGCCCATCGATGGAAAAAATGAGAATTCTCATCGCCATCTTTAAGCCAACTCCATTTGCACTTTTGAGCCTGTTCCTTCAGGGTCACCTCCATTAAAGAAGCTTTCAAAGAGTTCCTGAGAGAAAAGTTTTCTTCAGAAAGCTCCTCCCCACTTT